TGTGGGTGCTGGTCCCAAGGCCGGATAATCAGAGAGAGATAGTGTCAGGAAGGGCATCCGGCTGCAAAACCCCATGCCAAAACCAATATGGAATGAGCCGTAATAGGAAATCAGTGGAGGCGGCTCATCCATAACGACGACCCCATATAGAAATGGGAGAAAGCTGAGAAGAAAAAAGACGGAATCAGTCACAGTGTCAAATGCAGGGGGTCACCGCCGCCAACCCCGCAAAGGAAGACAAAGAATCCTCCACGTATTCGGGGCGAGGTATAGAGCGCATGATTGACATCCGGGAGCGACCGACGCCGAGTCCGTCCGCCGCTCTCTCCTGCCGGGATACGCGGAGGATTCTTTGCCTTCCACTGTGGGGGTTTGGGGGGCAACTGTCTCTCCTTCGGGTATGTGTGTGTGTGTGGGGGGGGGTCGCATTTGACTATATATTGACCAGTTCTCTGTATATCGTTCATAATTTACCCCGCAATTTCAATGGTACCATTTATGCCCTCCCATGCTATCAGGGCCAAAATTATGGGTGTCGATGGGGGAGTCTGCGGCCTAATATTAATATATTTGGATATTAGAGAGTAAGAGGAATCCATCGATACCAAAATCGTCGCGATCGGTTATGCGAAGGTATTCCAAAAAAGTACCTTTTCGGTCTTCGGACGCCGTGAATGATTTTTCAAACGTTTCAATGGATTCAAATCAAACGCTTATTAATGCAAAATTCAAGTTCAAAAAGGAAAGACAAAGAATTGTAGTAACGCAATATCTTCGTAATATCATATTTATGCAAATATAATAAAAAGGCACAATGTTCGTGTGTAATAAAATGCAATTCATGGTTCCACAAGGCCAAGAAATATGCCGCGATTGCACCGATTTTTTTCCCTTTTCATTTTAAGATTTTCCAGTAAGATTAAATGACTATATATGTAATCTAAAAACATTAAACAATAGATCGTGTACGTTAAAACCATATTTCGTTGGAAGTACTTCATCAAATGTTCAAATTATTTTAGAGTGGTGATACGAAAGTCATTGGTATAAAGGAGAGAGATAGAGAGGGAGAGGAAGTCAGAGAGAGAGAGAGAGAGAGAGAGAGAGTTAAGAGAGAGAGAGAGAGATTTAGAGAGAGAGAGAGAGAAGAGAGAGAGAGAGAGAGAGAGAGAGAGAGAAGGTGAGAGAGAGAGGAGAGGGAGAGAAGAGGAGAGAGAGGTAGATGAGAGAAGAGAGAGACACAGGAAGAGAGAGAGAGAGAGAGAGAGAGAGAGAGAGAGAGAGAGAGAGAGAGAGAGAGAGAGAGAGAGAGAGAGAGAGAGAGAGAGATACATACACACACACAACACACACACACACACACACACACACACACACACACACACACACACACACACACACACACACATATATATATATATATATATATATATATATATATATATATATATATATATATATATATATATGTGTGTGTGTGTGTGTGTGGTGTGTGTGTGTGTGTGTGTGTGTGTGTGTGTGTGTGTGTGTGTGTGTGTGTGTGTGTGTGTGTGTGTGTATGTGTGTGTGTGTGTGTGTGTGTGTGTGTGTGTGTGTGTGTGTGTGTGTGTGTGTGTGTGTGTGTGTGTGTGTGTGTACATATTATATATATTATATATATATATATATATAATATATATATATATATATATATATATGTATTATATGTAATATATATGTATATATATAAATATATGTATATATATATATATATATATGTACATATGTATATATATATATATATATATATTACGTAAATATATTAACATATATGCACACACCCATATATATGCCCAATAGCATCGCAAATCCTCTCCTTCCTCACCCCGCCCCCCTTCCTCAGCTTCCGTGCAACCCGACGATCGAGGCACACACAGTGCAAGGGTTCACCATGATAGAGTGCTTCTGTGCGCTCATGCAGACACTGTTGAAGCTTTAAGCAGAAGTAGGAGCGTGTATTCAGGCGCAGGTGTATATATGTGCACGTGCATGTGTGTATGTGTGCACATGAACTATGTGATTAATAAACATGAGCGTCTAAATACGTATATGAGTACGTGTACAGGTATGTGTGTGTGTGTACATGTATACGCATATGCTTATGTGTGTATAACTAAATGTAGGTGTATAATTACGGGTAAGTGTATAATGATGCACGTGTATGTGTATGTTCATGCGCTTGCATATGAGGATATACATGTGTATGTATACAGGTGCATATGTTTGTGGATATATATATATATATATATATATATATATATATATATATATATATATATATATATATAAGTATGTGCCCATGTGCAGCTGTATGTAATATATGTTTAGGTGTACGCATACATATATATGTGGATACTAATGTGTATGCATGTGTGCATACACGTATTGGTATATTTGTGAATAGCTGCATATATGTGTATGCAAAGTTGTATGTGTACAAGATATATGTGTTCACGTATAT